TCAAAGTCACAGAAATGACCTGAGAAGTTTGTTTCACCTGGTTTTACTTTAAGTTGCACATCTTAACCATTTTTTGCCTGATGCTGGATCATATTTTCTCTTCCATTTTAGCTGAATCAAACCTGTTGTTTTTACTTTCACTCAATGCCACCATCTCACTACTGTAAATAGTTCATTTTAACACAGAGATGTTGTGAACAAATATCCTGTATTTTAGGCTTTGCGGTTTAAGTTAAAGACTCCAATGTTGGAAACGGATCAGTATGTTGTGTGACAGATGTCGGTGGCTCTGCCATCAGTTTTTAAAATGTCCTGCTTCTGTTGCTGCTGTTTACACTGTAAATGCTCCAGGATCCTGCATGTTGTGTTCACCGACTCAAACTCAATGAATTACAGTCATAATGACAAGTTTCACCTGGGTGTGCTATCTTTCTTCCACCTGCAGGTAAAGAGCTGTGGATCATTAAGTTGAACTTAATTAAATCTTATTACATTTCTGATGGGTTTGTGTGATGAAGCTCCTCAGGTTCAATCATATTAAAACTTCTAGATTCCATACAAATTTTTTTTGACTGAACTTGCATCTGGAAAATGTTCTGGATTTTATGTAGAAAATAGACTTGGTAGCAGTAAAATAAGAATCCATTTATACTGTTTAAAAATGAACAATTGATTAACATTTGTAATTTAAGTATTATTGATGGAAGAGATCTCAGTCCACATACAGTTGTACAATTTTTATGTATTAAAATCCAATGGCAGGTTTTATATTTGCGCTGGTATAAAATGATCAGCCAGCATTACTGAAATGTCGTCTTAAGGACAGGAAAGAGACCAGCTGAACTGTGTCGAATACAGAATTTTACATTTAAAGGAACAAACTGAAACTCAGAAGCTGGGGGATTCATGGTAGGTATTATTGAACCTACATAAAAGAACCACAGACAACATATATAAGTTTTCTGACCAAGCTTTTGCAAAAGGAGAAGACTCAGCAAACTGCTCCTCCAAGCCGTTCACTGGGCGTTCTAAAGACCTTTGGTTACAACTTTGTCTTTTATTATCAAGCAAAAAAAAGGGAGGATAGGTAAGCAAGACAGGAGAGACAAAATACTTCTGCACACATGTAGTTTCTCAAGTGAGGAGTATTCTGGTAGATAAAGAGGCAGCTGTGGAAACATAATTCAAGGTCTGGGAAACACAGTAAACTGTTTCACATGAAGACGAACAGGCAGATGGGGCCTCCAGGTCAGCTTATATACACAGAAGGAAGTTAGAACACTTTAAATTAAGAACACACATAATTTCTGCACACATGCAGAATCTTCAGTTGCTGAACTAAAAAGACAATGAAACATATTTCAATGCAACTTCAAGAACAACACTGATTATTTTCAAGTAGTTTATTGTGGTGTA